GGAGACCGACAGGCAATTGATGGTGGTGGGCTGACCCGGCAAGGGGAGGGGGACGTCAGAGCCGTCACGTTGAAACGCCGCTCCCTGCAGAGTTTAAAAACCCTTCGCGTTCAGTGTGTTTGAAGCGCCTCAGGCCTCCGCAGCTCTGGGTCTCCAGCGCTCACGGCACAGTCCCCGCTCCCGGGACCAGTTAGGCAGCGGGGAGCCAGTGGCTTCCCCCTCGCTCTGACGTCTGCCCAGGAGGTAACAGCGCATAAAAACACCGGCTTATAAAAAACCACCAGCAGGTGCACTGGTTTCTGTTCTTGGTATAAAATGAAAGCCTGGATCAGAAAAGCCGTTGTTAGTCTTTAAAGGAACGGTACCAAAATCTCCATTTCCACTGACGCCCCCGATAGGTATCTGCGGGATCTAGTTGGCCGCTGACTGCCTTGCTCCCCAGAACCTCCACCTCCTGGGAAATTGGTTCCACATTAACGTAGGGAGGCAATTTAAGCTCCAGCTTCTACTCAGATTCCCAAGTGACTTAATTCATTTTGAAGAGTTTCGGTTTGGTGTTGCACAAAGGAGGGGGGTAAAAGCTCAAAAAACCATTCATAATCATGTATAGCAGCATCAAAACACTGGAATGTTAGGAAAAACCCCAAAGTATCAACTCTTGAAAGCAGACCCAAGAGCAGATGGGTGTGTGTGTGTGTGTAATTGCAAAATTCCCCTTAGAATTATTTTTTGCCACTGACTGAATGGTATTTCACTCGGGCTGATTTTCTGGTATTATTTCTGTGCAGAGGAAGTTTGGCTGTGATACATATAAAATCAAAGAATTTTAAGCCTAAAAGAACGCTTATAGATTACCTTATACAACACCCTGATACTCAGATTTGAGAGCACCTGGGATGTGGGGTGGGATTAGAGAGGAGTTAGTGCCAGGGATGACAAATCATTTGGAGAAGGATTTAAGTTATGCATTTGAAAAAAGGAACACATTGAGTCTGGGAGCTTGAGAACATCACAGACAGAATGTCTGTTCCTTGTTTCTCCTGGCATATCATGACCAGCACAAATAAACCAAGGGTCAGTCTGCACTCTCTCATCCCTGTGCTTCTTAAACTTAATGCTCAGATGAATCACTTGGAGATTCTGTTTAAACGCAGATGCTGATTGACTAGTTCTGGAGTGGGACCCAAGACCCTGCATTTCTAACAAGCTCCCTAGGGATGCCAGTGATGCTGGTCACTGGGCTACATTTTGAGTGAAGAGGATCTACCCTGCCAGATGCCCCTGCTACATGGAGAAAACCCTGAACCTGAAGATGACAAAGTTGCTCCTCTGGTAGCTTTCATGAGTGTGGCAACCTACTGCCTTTATTGTCCACTCAGAAAGGAGCAGAATAGAGAGTCAATGGATTATGTTTGTAATCTTTGTGTTCCTACCTTTTTACTTTTTTCCTATCATTACCCCACTCCTGGCTTCATTTCCTTTCATATCTAAACTAACACTACTGAGCATCACTCAACCCCCCTCTGCCAGTGCTATCAACTTCCTGCACTCTTGTCTTTCAAACCCACTCTGCTTATAAACTTTCAACCTTGGTGAATATAGTCTGGCACTGAGCTCTGACACTAATGTGTCAGCTCTGCTGGAGAAAGTGACAAAATTATTTGAATTACTGTTCAGAAATACATATGTTTCTGGTCAACTTTCCTATTCTTCAAACCACCTCTTTTTAAGCTCCCTAGTACATAATTCTATCTTCATATTCACAGAGATAATTTTGATTTTCAGGTGCATATTCCTTCAAATCTCTTATTATTCTTTCTCTTCAGGAAATTAGTTCTATCAAGTTAAAGTCCCTGTCAATTTTTCCCATTCTATCCTTCCTCCCTGAAGCATATAAATATGCTTAGGTCTTACTAATTTTAAAAAAGAAAAATCCTCCCCGCAACCATCACCTGTAGTTCTCACCTCATCTCAGTCAGGTTTCCTAAAGGTGTGGCTTTTTAAACTTAATGCAACTTTTCATAAAGGAAAAGATCATATAGTCATTTGACAATCACTCCTCAATGGAAATACTTAGTAACTTCATTAATATAACAGTTTTTCAGAAAACCTGTTAGGTTTGTTTAAGCTCCATTAGGTTTTGTTTGCTTGCTTTATTTACTGGAGGCAAAGACTTTTTTCCACACATAGTAACCACCTTCATAATACCTAACTTTTAGTTTTTGGGGTTTTTTTGTGTGTGTGTTTTGTTTAAAATATTACAGATGTCCCTTTTTCTCCCCAATGACCCATTCCACCCCATCCCATCCCCCTCCCCAGTCCCTAGTTTATTTTTTAAATGTTTTTATTGTCCTGGCCAGTGTTGCTAAGTGTTTAGAGCATCTGCCTGCTTACCAAAGGGTCAGGGGTTTGACTCCCAGTCAAGGGCACATACCTGGGTTGCAGGTTCCATCCCTGGCCCCGGATGGGGCATGCAAGAGGCAACCGGTCAGTGTCTCTCTCACGTTGATGTTTCTCTCTCTCTGCCAC